GCTTGCCATTGTGGAAGATATTGTCTGGCTTCCGAGTCCCATGAAGTATGGTATGATCAACATCTTTTGTTTGTGAGGTTCTTTCAACACCAGTGTCAATGGAGTAATGTACAGGGCTGTGTTAACTGGGTCATGTGATGGTTTGAATGAGACTAGCTCCATAGGCTCATATATATGAATGCTTGGTACCCCAGTTGGTGGAACTGTTTGGGAAGAATTCGGAGGTGTGGCCTTGTTGGAGAAAGTGTGTCACTGGGAGCAGGTTTTCAAAAGTCCACACCATTCCCAGTCTTTCTCTCTCTCTCTCTCTCTCTCTCTCTCTCTCTCTCTCTCTCTCTCTCTGCCTCTAACTTGTGGATCAGGATGTAAACTACCATGCTGCTCCAGCGCCATGCCTGCCTGCCTGCTGCTATAATCCCTGCCATGACAATTAACAGACTAACTCTCTAAGACTGTAAGCAAGTCCCCAGGTAAATGCTGTTCTTTAGGAGCTGCCTAGTTCAAGGTGTCGCTTTACAGCAATAGAAAAGTAGCTAAGACAGGTCAGTCATTCATAGTAATGGACAGCTTGTGGCTATTACAATTCATGAAGCAAATTCCTACTTAAGGAACAAGCCTCTGTCTCTAGGCTTCCAACATGGAGCCAAGTACTCTCCAAACTGCTCTCTTGGCATCTGTCTTCCTTGGGATCTCTGGCAGCAGCCATAGCAACCCCTGGTAACGCTTGGGCTTCTGACAGTCTTCCCCTCGATCATCATGGCAGGCCTCCTGACGTAAGCAGGTTATGCCAGAAACACGGAAGAGTACACCTGTACACCTGTATCTTCTAACAATGTCAGAATTCATTGGATAACAGTAAAGTCACAAGGATCACTGCTTTCAGAGGCAGCAGCTTGCCATCTAACACTGCCTTCCTTGGTGTTTGGCAGAGGGGAATGTAGGCTCTTTGATTCCAGTTTTAATCACTGACATTGACTCTCACACCACACAGAGCACAGCCCTCAGTACGTCTGTGTGTATATCTGGATGTGTTTATGTGCCTTACAAATGGATACAAGTTAAAGAAGCTGCAGCAGACTTCAAGAGGTTTCGGAAGTCGCCTGAGAATCTGAAGGAAGCAGGCCAGTGTGGGAGGGAGCTGCTACCGTAGCTCCCAAAGTGCTCGGATTATGGGCACCACCTCACCGGGCTTGCTTGTATCTTAGCTGCTCCTTGCTACTCTGCTTGTATTAGAACTATTCCGTGTTGGTTGTATAACGGTCAATATTGAATATTTTTCTACTCATGTTACTGTACTGTCTTTGACACAAAACATGTGTGCTCCAGTCCTCAGTGTTCGGAATATAGATTGTGATTGCTTATAATAAGCAATTATATCTTCATTGTCATACTGTACCGATTTGTAAGCTGATTATACTTCATTTGGGGCATGGGAACAATGCTAATTCTTTGCTTCATTTCATTGACCCTCTGTATGGCAGGCTCTTATGGAGACAGTGTGTGGATGCAGTCATGTAAGAAAGCCACTATTTTTAATGAAACTTTCACTGTAGTGAGGGAGAGAAAAAAAAAGAAGTGTTGAATGATAAATGGGGATCAACTCTAGGGTTAAAGAAAGTAGGGGAGGGGATATACACTTTTTCAGGGAGAGAGTTGAAACGAAAGACTTTTCTGGGACTTGTGATGGAAAACAAGTGGAGACTGTAGTGATCTCGGGATTGGTCATTTCAAGTGAATTGTAGCAGAGGCAGTATGTGGCCAGCACACCCTTTGCCAGCCTTTCTGCCCAGTTGGGAGGGTGATCGTGTGTTACTTCTGATCACGGAAGTAGTCATGAATCATGGTCTCTTTTTCCACTCTCTCCAACTTGTTTTACTTGTTTTGTAGGCTTTTGATTAATTCCCTTTCTCAGTCCCACGCTACATGACTAGTTTCTAATCTATGCCTTTCCTGTTGATTGTTCTCACCCGTACTCCATCTTCTGCCCTGCCCTCCCACCCCCCACTGTCTTTACCCCTCCCTGTGCTGTTATTCTCCTTCCCCCTCTGATACCACTGGCATTCCATACCCCTCTATATTACCAACGTTCTACACCCCTTCTCTTGAATGCCACCCCTGCCACCATGGCCCTTTACTAGTGTACCACTGGCATTCCACTCCATACCCCTTTATATTACCAACATTGCATAACCCTTCCCTTGAAGACCCCCTGTCCCTGCCCATGGCTCCTTACTAGTGTACTGCCATCTATGGGGTATTTCAATTTAAATATATCCAAAGATATAAAGATAATATCCACATATAAGAGAGAACATAGGGAATTTGTCTTTCTGGGTTTGAGTTACTTCACTTACAGTGATTGTTTCCAATGCCATCCATTTATTTGTGAATTTAATCATTTTCTTTTTCCTTTTATCCCCCAAGCTATGATCATTTATTTGTTACACTTAAAGACTTATTTTTTACTAGACTTAGATTTAGAAACAGAAGCTCTCACAAGGACAGCCTATGTCTCTTGACAGTCTTTTCCTGGTGTTTTTCTTTGGCTCCCTTCATTTTCTTGGCCACAAATTTAGCAAATTCTGCAGCCTCATCCTAACTTTTCTTAGTTATTTGTTTCTCCAGAGCAATACGTGGGCATTTGTGTTGCAGGACACGTTGGGTAACAAGATACTGAATCTTTGTGGCTTTGGTCCTGAGCTTCTTACCTTCCTTGTTTAAGGGCTTCCTGACAACATGCTGCTGGGCCTCGTCTTTAGAGAGATGGAGAAGTTCTCAGACTCTGTTAGCTCTCTGGGGACCCAGTTGCAGAGGCAGAGTAGCATCTGTCAGGTCAGCATAGTGGGAATCTTCTTTCTTTTTTTTACAATAACCAAGTTCTGAATACTCTGATTGGCATCCACACCCTCCAATATACTTGTGATTCCTCTCTCTTGATCTGTAAGAATGTCCTTTACTCAAGGGCAGGTGTACTCTATTGGCCTCCAGCCACCCTGCTTCATGGGAAGACTTTGTTTGTTGTTCCCACCATTGATTCAGACCACACAGCCCTTCCACTCCTCGGCCAGGGCATCAGCAGCCACTTCTGTGGCCATGCACACAGATGGCAGCTGGGAAGGAGACATCCAACTTCATCTTGACACAACCAGTTGCCTAGGAGGTGTCACAAAAAAAAAAAGAGCTTTCTTTACAGCTGAATCTAATCTCCTCTCTGTCTCTGTCTCTCTCTCAGTCCCCCACCCACACCCTGTTGGACAGGGTCTCACTATGTAGCCCTAGATATCCTGGTGCATTCTATGTAGACCAGGCTGGCCTCAAAGTCATAGAGATCCTTTGCCTCTCTGCCCACTGGGTGCTGAGATTAAAGGAATGCACAACCACATCCAGCTTTTAAAACAGTTTCTAGGTTTATTTCATTTATTGTGTGTGCATGTGCATGTTTTGCTCACATGTATATCTATGTATCATGTATTATCTTGGGACTGGAGTGATGGACAGTGTGGCTGTTGGGGATTGAACCTGGAACCTCTTAACCACTGAGCAATCTCCACGGCCCTCTTTAAAATTTTTTAAAATTGGGGGCTGGAGTAGTTAAGAGCATTGACTGCTCTTCCAGTGGACCCAGGTTCAATTCCCAGAACCCACATGGCGGCTCACAACTGTCTATAACTCCAGTCCCAGGGAATTTGACACCCTTACATATATGCAGGCAAAACACCAATGTGTATAAAATAAAAATAAATTATTTTTTATGTGTATGAGAGTTTTGCCCCCATGTATGCCTGTATACCATGTGTATCCTGGAACTAGAGTTATGGTCTCTTTCTCTTTTCTTTTCTTTTCTTTTCTTTTCTTTCTTTCTTTCTTTCTTTCTTTCTTTCTTTCTTTCTTTCTTTCTTTCTTTCTTTTTTCCTTCCTTCTTTCCTTCCTTCCTTTCTTTTTTTTAAAGACAGAGTTTCTCTGTGTAGCCCTGGATGTCCTGGAACTCATTCTGTAGACCAGGATGGCCTTGAACTCAGAGATCTGCCTGCCTCTGCCTCCTGCGTGCCGGGATTAAAGGTGTGCACCACCACACCCAGCTTCTATTTTGCTTATGTGATATTTGTTAGTTTTTATCCCTGTAGGTGTCTGTGTATACCTGGTGCCCTCAGAGGCCAAAGGAGGACATCAGACCCTCTGGGACTAAAGCTGCAGATGATTGTGAGCTGCCATGTGGTTACAGGGAATTGAACCCAGGTCCTCTGGAGAAGCAGCCAGTGTTCTTAACTGTTGAACCATATTTCCAGCTCCTAATCACTTTTAAAAATATTTATTGTTTTAAATTATGCCTGTGTCTATAAGTAGATAGATGCACATAGGTGTGGGTGCCTACAGAAGATCTGGATACCCTGGAACTGGGGGTACAAAGTGGTTCTGAGTCATCTGACATAGATGCTGGGAACCGAACGTGGGTCCTCTGCAAGAGGAGTCTCTGCCTCTAACTTCTGTACTACCTCTCCAGCCCTGGAATAGCTAACCTCTTACTGGGCATGCTCGTATGTTAAATGAGACCCAGGAGGCTACTGCTTGGCTTGAGCTCCTGTGCTAGGCCCAACACACCAGGCCACATGAGTCACTCAGACTGACTGCCTTGTTTGTCGGACCCTCCAAGGAACCCAGAGAGAGCTAAAAGCCAAATTACCAACCAAACTACACTGTTGTGTCTTTTTTTTTTTTTTTTTTGCTAATTAAAAGAGAGAAGTTCTGGGCCTGGAGAGGTGGCTCAGTGGTTAAGAGCATTTGCTGCACTTCTGGAGGACCTGTGTTCAGGTCCCAGAATCCACATGGCAGCTCACAACTGACTGTAATTCTAGTTTCATAGGATCTGATATCCTATTCTAACTTCCACAGGCTCCTGCATGCACATGGTGTGCTCGATCACACACACACACACACACACACACACACACACACACACACACACACATTCACACACCACTCAATAAATAAACTTTAAGAAGGAAAGATTCTATTTTATTAGCTTCTGATTCATATTTCTACATGTAGACCTATGTCCCCATAAAATCAAAGACCTGCAAGATATTTATGTCCAAGAGTATTTATTACAGCAATTTTTATGAAAACAATCTAAAATCCCAATATGGATTTGGCTTAAATAAAGCAGGAAACAATCATACTAGGGGATATTTACAGCTGCTCAAAGTCCCAGTTTGTAGAAAACTCAGTGATCTTGGGAATTGCTCAAGCTATGAATGTTTACATTAAAAATATCAGGTTATAAAATTGTACATAATGCAGAATGACAAAATTCAAATACAAATACGTATAGTTACATATATACATATGCTACAAGTAGAAAAACAAATGAAAGACAAACATTGAAAAATCTTAATACTAGTTATTCCTGTGTAGTAGAATTATGAGGCTTTTTTTTTCACTCATTTGAAGTTTTCTGTATTTTTCTTTTTTAAAAAATAATTTATTTTTATTTTATGTGCACTGGTGTTTTGCCTGCTTATATGTCTGTGTGAGGGTGTCAGATCTTGGAGTTGCAGACAATTGTAAGCTGCCCATGTGGGTGCTGGAAACTGAGCTCCAGGTCCTCTGGAAGATCAGTCAGTGCTCTTAACCGCTGAGCCATCTCCCCAGCCCGTGTATATTTTTCAATTTTTCCCCACAATTACATATTGCTTTCACATTCGGAAAAATAATAAATACACGTTAATAATAAAAATACAAAAGTGAGAACAAAGGAGATCCAAAAGCTACAAACATAAATATTGTATGTTTTGAACATCTCCTTAAAAATTTTTTATAGATGGCTGAATCTTCCAGGTAAGAACTTTTTATTTCCAGTACTACTTATATTTTTGGCTTGGCTGGATTTGGATGCAGGCTCCACAGTGACATATTTAATCTGGAAACCTCCGGCAGTGACGGATGCATCGCTCAGAAACTTCAAGGTCATGACATTTCCTGTAGGGGTCGGGGGAGGCACACATAGGAACAAAGAGGTTACTCCAGTTTGATTTGTCTGACAATTAAATGACTTATCATCTCACAAAAGAATACATAAAAGAGCCGGCGGTGGTGGCGCACGCCTTTAATCCCAGCACTCGGGAGGCTGAGGCAGGCGGATCTCTGAGTTCGAGGCCAGTCTGGGTTACAGATTGAGTTCCAGGAAAGGTGCAAAGCTAAACAGAGAAACCCTGTCTCAAAAAAAACAAACAAACAAAAAAATTACTATGTGGTAGAGGAAGCCAAAACAAGAGAAAATAGTGTCTCTAATGTACAAAGAACAATCTTATAAACAAAATACAAATAATCTAACAAAGAGTTGCTAGAGATAAAGTATTCTAAAAACCGCAGTGCGGGTTTGATTGCCCTAGCTGTAAGTTAACTGTTTAGGACAAATAGTCTGTCTTCCCATGCATGCTTTTTGTCATTATTTTTGAGACAGAATCTCACTAGGTAGCCCTGCGAGTCATTATGTACCCCAGGCTATCCTCACATTCTTGTGTGATCCTCCTGCCACACCCAGCTCTGCTTTTTTTTTTTTTCTTGGTTTTTCAAGACAGGGTTTCTCTGTGTTGCTTTGTGCCTTTCCTGGAACTCACTCTCTAGCCCAGGCTGGCCTCGAACTCACAGAGATCCGCCTGCCTCTGCCTCCCGAGAGCCCGGCCAATGCTGTGGTTTTTTTTTAAGAAGAATTTTTATGTTCCAACTCCCTCGTAAAGCTCTAAAGCCAACCTTGTTCCAATCTTCTGTTCACATAAAATATGTCCTTGAGATAAGAGAAATAAGAGTTTTATAGTGAGTTTCCTTTCTTGGGAATATTGTAACAATAACAAATTAATAAGGTCTAGACAGTCGTCATTCAAAGATGGAGTAGAGAGCTTCACAGCTTGTAAAAATGACACCTCAGAACTGAGAGGCTGCAAGGCAGGCTGTGGGAGGCCATTAAAAAAGGACTCAGCACCGCCAGTCTCTGGAGCGCTGCTGTTCTTAGGTGCAAAGCGTGGTGATAATTTTATGACTTGGAGAGAAAACAGAACCTATCAGAATGCCAAGTCCTGGCGCTGGAAAGAGAAAGAAAACAGAGACTTCCGAGAAAACAAAGGTTTTAGCTAAAAATAAAAATTTAGCCAGGCGGTGGCGGCGCACGCCTTTAATCCTTGCACTTGGGAGGCAGAGGCAGGTGGATCTCTGTGAGTTCGAGGCCAGCCTGGGCTACAGAGTGAGATCCAGGACAGGCATCAAAACTACACAGAGAAACCCTGTCTCGAAAAAACCAAAACCAAAAACCAAAAACAAAAATTTTAAAGAGCAGTTTAAGATAACTTAAAGAGTGATATTGCCAATTGTGATCAATTTATGTTACTAAGAGGTCATTTTTAACTGGCGTTACTTCTTAGAACATAAGCATACAAAATAACTCTGGGGGTGTGTATGATTTAGGAAGCATTGCCTATTATATCCAGCCTTTTGAGATTTACATTAAATTAGGATACTAAAAGTTCCCTGTGGTTGCCAATAAAGAAACCTTATGGCCGTCTAGCCCAGCACTTTCCTTTCCTTATGCGATGGCTGCTGAAAATACCACAAGGAACTGTAAGGACTGTTGTACCAAGACAGAAATGGGATACAAACAATGCAGTCCTTTACTATGGCGGACGCTGTGTGTAACTACTTGATAATTCACTTAAGTCTTTTATCAGTGAATATTTCCAGCTACTATGATTGTTGTTGTTGTTATTGTTATCATTATTATTGACTGTGCTGGGAATCAAATCTAGGGTCACTGCATGTGCAAAACGAGGACTCTACTATTGAGCCCAGTGCCAGTTCCCACTCATTTATTACCACTCCAGACCCCTGGCGATGCAGTTCTCAGGGACTCGTGGCTTCCAGCTGATGCCTGCCGATGAGAACTGTCCACACACACGCTATTTTGATCACAGAGTTGCTCAAAATCTTTAGAATAAAAATTGGCATGGCTCTATGCTTAGCCCTCTCAGGTTTAAAAGGTGCATGATATTGAGGGCAGTATGGAAAAGCAAAGGAACATTCTGCTGTAATTTGGGTTTTACCTGTGCTAATGATGTCTTCTGGAAGTTCATCACCACAGTATCTGAAAGAGAATTTTTAGAAAAGAGAAGTCACACACACACAAGAAGCACACAACTATTGATATGGCTCTTATTTATGACAAAATACTTTATTCCCCACAAATTTCCTCTAGTCAAAAAAATAAAATGGTTTTTTGAGATAGGGTCTCATTCATGTAGCCCTGGCTAGCCTAGAACTCACTATGTAGACAAGGCTGGCTGGGCTGGCCTAGAACTCACAGAGGACTGCTTGCCCCTGCCTCCTAATGCTGGGATACTCTTTTTTTTTTTTTAAGCATGGATTTGTAAGGAGAGAAAAGGATATAGTTTTAATTAATCTTACAATCTTTTTTTTTTTCTTTTTTTCCTCTGAGACAGGGTCACTCTACATAATACTGGCACCCTGGGATTCACTAGAGATCTGCCTGCCTTTGCCACTTGAGTACTGGACTTAACACGTGTGTTACAATACCCAGTCCCACAGTCTTAATCAGATTTATAAGATGTTTGTAGCCTTTCTCCTTTAAGAAGCTGCAAAACTGCTTGCTCAGCAGAGAATGTGAATTCACTTGGAAGATAAAGAAAATTGTTTCTGGTTAACAGGTTTTTTTTCATGTTTTATTTATTTATCTGAGGCAAGGTCTCCTGTATCCAGGTTGGCTTGAAAAGTCAAATTAGTGCCAGGAATGATGGCACACACCTTTAAGCCCAGCCATAGGTAGGCAGGGGCAGACAGATCCCCGTGAGTTCAGCCCAGCTTGGTCTACATAGAGTTTCTGACCAGCCAGGGCTAAATAGTGAGAACCTGTCTCAATAAACGAACAGAAACTCCGGTGCTACCTGAGGACAGCCTTGAACTTCTGCCTCTGCCCTTTACTTTCTAAATACTGGGATCACAGGCATGTGCTGCCAGGTCCAGTTTTGTGGGGTGCTGGGACTCAAACCCAGGGCTTCCTGCACTTGACACTCTACCAGTGGAATTCCAACCCTAAGTTTCTTCTTAACCCTGAATTTTGTGAAGAATAGGCATGGAGTCAATGGTAGAGCACTTGCCTGGTACTCTGTTCTTTTTTTTTTTTTCCCCTGAGACAGAGTTTCTCTGTGTTGTTTTGGTGCCTGTCCTGGATCTCGCTCTGTAGACCAGGCTGGCCTCGAACTCACAGAGATCCACCTGTCTCTGCCTCCCGAGAGCTGGGATTAAAGGTGAGCGCCACCACTACCCAGCTTGGTACCTTGTTCTTGGTCCCAGCCTTTACTCACAGCATTTTGGTAGTGATGGGAGGTGTGGGTGTTTAGTTGATGGTATTATTGTAAGCTATAGGATAAATATTAAAATGCAGAAAAATCATAGGTATGAAATACCTAACTATAGACCCTATTGGTATAAGATTTTGTTTTTATTCTGAATTACGACTTGAAATAATTCCTTCTATAATTTATTAAAAAATATATAGGTTTTATAGCTTTCTAAAACTACAATTCCAGAGAAAGGATGAATACACTATAATGGAAAATTACATGTATAAATACAATAAATAATAAATAAGCCTTATAAAAAACCTGAAAATAGTACTATATGATTTTATTTAGGTCTTTAATTGATTTTAGAATTAAAACATCATCTAATTCACAAGCTTCAGTGAATTATGTGTGTCTATGTATATGGGCTCGACTGCATGCTGGGGTACCAAGGATCAAATTCAGGGCTTCATGAATACTAGGAATACTTAAAAAAAAAAAATGAAGTTGGCTGCATTTCCTGATCCAAAAAGTTCTCACCTCTCAGCCTCCTGTATTTTTTGTTATGCATACTTTCAGTCAAAAATCCCCATAGTTTGTGCAAGAAATCCCCATTTTTAATTGTTTTTAAGTCACATGTTTCAACATAATCCAAAAACTGATTGCGCCTGAGTTGAGTGTGTGTGCACACCTCAATCCCAGTCGGCAGGAGAACTGAGGGTTCAGGATGACCTGGACTTGCACAGTGAAGGTCAGCCTGGTCAGCCTGGGCTCCATACAGAGACCCTACCATAGACAAAGCGAAATAATTGAGCCTGCCATTTTGAACTGCTCCCTCTTCTGGGTTCTTCTACTAAGTTCCTGCCATGTACGGTAGGAAATTGGTAAGTGATAGTCCACTGATAAGTAATAATACAAGTTATTAAATGGGACTTGCATTATAAAACAGCTGATTACATATATGTCAGTTTAGAAATGTTTTGTAAGGCGTTCAAAATTTAAGCTATATGAAGATGTTGGAGCAGGTGTAAGATCCAAAATTAATCTGTAAGCCCCACCTGCCCAAGAACCAGGTAACTTTCTGGAATGCTGGGAGTTGTAGTTGTAAACTCCATATTGCCAAGGACCAGGTAACTAATTTCCTGGGCTGCTGGGAGTTATAGTTCTTGGAAAAATAACAACGCTTCATAGGAAAGTATGGTGGCCTCTGAACTTTGTTCATAAAAGCCATGACAACACGTATCTAGGGGCCACTCAGCTGGGGTATTTCCAAGACTCATCCTGACCAACGGCCATCTTGGTCAGTATTTAATATTTTAGTAAAGCTTGTTTCAAATTTGGCCTACAACGCTGGAACTGATTTTTCTCCAGTGAATCTCAGGATTGACCCAGGACATCTTGGATCACACCCGTAATCCCAGCACTCAGGAGGCTGAGACAGGAAGATTTCCATGAGTTCAAAGTTAGCCAAGAAATCTGGATCATCTTCAATGTCAAAATCCTAAACTCTCAGATGAATACACAGACCACACTGAGTGTACTGTGCCAGTGGCAGATCTGAATGTCACCACACTCATTCGGCCTGCTACAGCACAAGATCCCTACTTTCCCACCTGCCCAAATTGGGATGGGAACACAAAAAGACTATGTCCAAGCATGTTGAAAAATAAGGGAAGTTGGCAGGGCATGTATTTCAGTTGGTAGAGTGGTTATCTTGCATGTCCAAGGTCCTGGGTTCCATCCGCAGCATCTAATAAACCAGGCCTGGTGTCACTGCCTGTGACCCAATACTTGGGAGGTGGGTGCAGAAGAACCAGGTTCAAAGTCATTCTCTTTTACATAGTGAGTTTGAGGCTAGCCTGGACTACAGAAAACTCAATGTGTACACAAAATGAGAGGAAGAGAGGGAGAGACTGACTTGCACATTTTAACAGGAATTTCATTTCCCATGTCTTTAGTCACGTGAGGTTTTGACTAACTAGACAACGAGGTTTTATAGGTCAACAATCAAAGGCAGCTTCACGGCTTTTGTAATCGGTGTAGGCACAGCCAACTCAGGAAAATCTTTGTAGGTGAGTTATATGGAAACAAGGGAGTGAGGGATGGGGGGTGGGGGAGATGAAGCATGCCTGTAATCCCAGCACTTTGGAGGTGGAGGCTGGAGGATCAGGAATTCAAGGCCCGTCTGAACTACAAAATGATTTCAAGGCCAGCCTGCAATCCCAGCTCCCCTGATAAAGAAGAGATGAAGAAGGTTGGAAAGGAAGAAGAGGAGAAGGAAGAAGAGGAGGAGGAAGAGGAAAAGCATTACTTTCTGCTGGAGAGAATAGAAACACTGAGTATCAACAATATCATAGAAACAGGGGAGAGAAAACTAAAGAAGCATCAGATAAACTTTGGAAGTTCTCTGATCATCCTGGGCAGGGAAGCATTACCCACCTTCCTACAAAGCCATGGACATCATCGTAGCTGTCATATATTTCTACATAGTCAGCCAGGCAGCCTGGATCGTGTTCAAGGTCAAAGTTCAAAAAGCTCAGGTGAATTCGCTGACCATACTTAAGCCGAATGTGCCAGTAGCAAACCTGGTTGTCGTCATACTCATTTGGGAAGCCTGGAGATTTAAAAATTCGCTTTGGATCTGTAAAGACACCACCACACTCCTTTGCTGAAATAGGAAAAGAAGGTTTGCTTAGATATTATTTATTATTTTTACATAAATACTAAAGAAATGACAATACATTATGCATAGTATATTGTGTATGCTTATAGCTAACAGTAGTTTCTAAATTTTCTTTAAATTTAAAATTTTTTTAAAAGTAAGCTGAGTGCCCTGAGAATTGGAAAAGAGCAACTCTCCAGGATTCTGTGCACATATGCCCAGAGTAAGAAGTAGCTGCCATGAGAAAAGACAGCAATTTATAAAGATTTGTGAATTAAGATGGCATCCTTATCAGGGGACAATGGATCCTGGAAGATCCCTTTCATTAACACCTCTTCATTTCTCCGATACTTTGACTTTATTATTTGTTTATGTTTTTCTGAGGCAGAGTCTCACTATATAGCTTTGGCTGGCCGGGGACTCACTATGTAGACCAGGCTGGCTTCGAACTCCCAGAGATTTGCCTGCTTATGCCTCCACCATACTTGGCTTTATTCTAGACTCTGACAATGACTATTAACAATGACTAAATATATGGTAGTATAGCACAGGCTAGAACCAAAAGCTTAAAGTATGTACAAGTTGATTTGGGACTGGTGTGGTGGCACACACTTTAATCCCAGCACTCTGAGGCTGAGGTAAGCCTGGTCTACATAGTGAGTTTCAGAACAGCCAGGGGTGAACAATGAGACCCTGTCTAAAAAAAACAAAGACTAAAAACAACCACAACAAAGCAAAACAAACAAACAATAAACAAAACCCCCCAAATAGCAACAGCAGTAACAAAAACAATACCCAAACAAACAAACCAAGGAACCAAAGTGACTTGTTGGTCATAGTCCTGTGATAAATGCCTGTACTTGTTTTGAATGAGTGTAGTATCCAGCTCTAAGAAAAATGTTTTCAACTTGGAATCTACTTCATTTTGAGCTATAAGCTGCTCGTGGACACGCAAGGCTGTTCTCCGATGGTCAGGACCATTAAGCAATGCTGTGACAGGAGCCTAGAATGTTGCTATCACTCTCCTACTGTGATACGGAATTCCTCATAAGGTAGATCCAATACTTCATCACATCAGTGTGTTAGCAAATGCTGGAAGGGCTCTGAAACATAATAAATAACACTTTGTTCTGTTGTCTGGGAGAACAGACCTGAAAAGAAGAGTCTGCTCTTTTCTCCAGGAGCATGAATGAAGAGTAACTCTCCTTTAGTGAGAATATGTGAGGGAACACAATTCAATGCCCTGAACAGCAAGGAAGGACCTATGAATGGTAGGTAGAATTTTATCATCCTCCTCACTACATTCACTCATTTTTAGAAGGAAAAGCTGTTTCCTTTTAGTAATCTCTTGGCAGGTAACTGCTTCATTGCTGTTGTTTGTATAACTGCTTTTGCAAAAACAGAATTATCATTTCAAAGAACAAACCATGTGGGTTGTAGCAATAGGCATCCCATCGCTCACTCCTGTTGAGCCGGATTCCATAATCGATAATACCAGTTTTCCCAAATCCACAGTTGGGCCCAGGTTTCACAATGGGGTATCCAACTCTGCCCTTGGCCATCCATCCAGCAGCACAGACATGAAATCCTGAAAGAGGGAGAGAAGCTTATAGATTCACCCAAAAAAGTCCCCAACCTGGTAGGGAGGCAGCCACCCACTTTGTGTAGAATGGGGAAATCCTTGCAATTGTAGTGCTCTGGAGACAGATTAGAAGGATTTTAAATTCAAGGCCAGCCTAGGCTATATAGTGAGTACCAAGCATTGGACCTTAGATTAAGTTCCTAGCACCACAAACAAACAAAACACCAAACCAAACCAAAGTTTAAATACAAATAAAACATACACCCTTTTTTCCCTTCATTTTTGTGTTTTGTTTTTTGAGACAGGGTTTCTCTGTGTAATAGGTAGGCCTAGCTGTCCTGGAACTCACTCTGTAGACCAGGCTGGCCTTGAACTCACAGAGATCCACCTAGCTCTGCCTCCCGAGTGCTGGGATTAAAGGCGTGCACCACCCGTGTTCGGCTTACTTTTTTATTTTCTTCTTGAGACATGATCTCATATAACCCAGGCTGGCCTCAAACTCTTTATGTAGCTGAAGCTGACCTCGAACTCCCAAGGCTCCTGCCTTCACCTCTGAACTGCTGCTAGGATTACAGGTGTGCAGCACCACCATACCTGGCTATAAAATGTCAATTCTGACTGCTACTAGCTAGTGGTCCTATTTGAAAACAAAAACAAATGCCAGTAGACTAGGATTAAGTCCACGGGGAGTATGAGAACTATCTGATTTCAATCATCAAGCTGTCCTCTGAGGACACTGAGTGAGCCTTTGAGTAAAGACCCTTAGGCATCCATCTGTGAATTCAGCCAACTAGGAATCAAAACGACTTCCTGACAGATCTGCATCTGAGATGGGCTGTGGCTCAGTGGTAGAGCACATGCTTCCCACGCATCAGGCCCTAAATTCAATCCCTACCAGAAAAAACAAAAAACCACATTTAAACTTGTAAAAATATTTTTCTTGTCATTATTTCCTCAGAACTATATTTACACAGTGCTTACAGTATGGTAGATAATACAAATAATCTCTGATTTAAAATATACAGGTTATTCGTGTCTGTAATATCAGTATTTAGGAGGCTGAGGCAGGAGGATCACAAGTTTGAGACCAGCAAGACCTTGTCTTAAAAAAAAAACACACACACACACACACTAATAAAAGTCAAGCAAGCAAGCAACTAAAACAAAAAGGAGATGTGGGTGTAGGTTGGTGGTGGCATGCCTGAGCCTGTACAGCAGGGCCTGACCCTGGGTTTGATCCACAGGACTTGAGCATCCTTGGATTCTGGTTAGCAGTGGTGATCTTGGAAACACTCGCTTACTGATGCTGTGGGATAACTTACAGCTGTGTGTTTGTCTGGGATAAAGTATAATAATAGCATGGGCTTTGCCAGGTATTTGCCTATAAGGAAAGGAGTCCTGAAGGGGGGACTCAAGGGAGAGGGGAGCCAGCTTTCTTGTGGAAGAAGCAAGTAGTAGTAGCCAGGCACAGTGGTACACATCTTTAATCCCACTTGGGAGGCAGAGAAAGATGGGATAACTGTGAGTTCAAGGCTATCCTGGTCTACAAGCAAGTTTCAGGCTGGGGCTACAGAGTGAGACTACACTTGTAGTCCCAAGATTTGGGGGGGCTGAGGAAGGATCAGCTCCACAGCAGCCTCAGTTATGCAGTGAATTTGAGACCAATGTGGGCTACGTGGGATTCTGTCTCAAAGCGAACAAACAAAATTCACAAAAACAACGAAAAATCCCAACCAACTGACCAAACACCCAAATAATAGCAGCAGTTAACTGCTGGAGTTTTCAGGAGGTCTCTTGGCATCATCTTCCAAGTTTTTTTTTTCCCCTACCACTGTAGGAAAATTTTAAGTACAGTACACACAATTGGTGATAGTTAACCTGTGTGCACAATAAAGTTTATTAGCTTTGAACACCTAATGCTCCTGCCTTTACCTCTGAAGTGCTACTAGGATTGTAGGTTTTTTGTTTTGGTTTGTTTTGTTTTTTTCAAGACAGGGCTTCTCTGTGTAGCCCTGGCTGTCCTGGAACTTACTTTGTAGACCAGGCTGTCCTCGAACTCATGATTCGCCTGCCTCTGCCTCTTGAGTGCTGAGACTGAATATGTGAACCACCATAGCCTGGCTTGCCTTACAGTTTTTAATCCTATGGTACAGTAGTACAGATGCATTCTCTTCCTGTCAAAACATATTTTTACGAACGCCTGGGCATGGGGGTATATACCTGTAATCCCAGCACGAGGTTAGCAGAGGCACGAGGAAGATTACAAGTTTGAGGCCAGCCTGGGCTAAATTGTGGTATTCTTATCTTGAAAACAAAACAAAACAACAAAGTTAAGAGAAAAGTTCCTTAAATTATAACATTTCTACTACTGTGAGAGTTACAGAGGTCCTTGTGCTTACAGATCAACACTAGGGGAACCAGGAATGTTAAACACACAGGGTTGTCTCTTCAAAGAGAGAACAATATACAACCTGTTTTCCAGCGGGATGGCTGGGAACAGAAGTGGTTAACAGCCTGGTGATTTTTGTGCTCTCTATGTGGCTGAGACCATAGTGGATCCTCCCCCAGACCCTTATTGTGAACTTGTCAATCTATAGACCTTTTCTTTATGGGAGGTGTCACATGTACTTTACAGAGGTTTTCCATGTAGTCACATCTTAAGCTTTGTTGTGCACATGGATTAATTATCACCAATTGTGCGGTGCTTAAATATGCCTAAAATAAACTACTGAGGGTCAGACTCCCAAAATCTGAACCAACACCAGCTACTGAGTCATGCTGAACTGACCTACCTTCTCTCATCCCTCTGATCGTTACTCTAATGGCCATAGTGGTCACAGAGGCCTCTACTAGGTAAATATTTGTAAAATTGCATAATTTAATGGCTGAGGAAACCAACATTCACATGTCAAGATAGATAGAACAATATTTTAAGTGAGTATCACTTACAGTAACATTAATACACGGTGTTTCAAAGAGACCAAGGTAAAGAGGTTTCCTTCGGGGTTTATTTTTAGACCGCAGAACCTCTACCTGCCTCTTTCTCTTTCCTAGAAGTCTTGGGGACAGAGAACTGAGGTGCCACGCTGTGCTGTGGCCTTGCAGCCCCACTCCTTCACAGCTGCAAGGTAAGGTTGTGGTCCTGTCTAGCACTCACTGCTGTGCCCGGAGTCACATACACTAAGGCAGGCTAAATCACCGGAGTGGAGCTTCCTAAGTCCCCCTAGAAATCCAGGGAATCTGAAACCTCTCTCTGTTCCGAGGACTCGAAGGCCTTTTCCACTGAGATCCTTGTCTAGGTGTCCATGGTGTCTATCTCACCTACTCTCCACTTGAAGCTCTCTTCAGGTCTTTTAAAGGAAGGTTCTCTCTCTCTCTCGCTCTCCCTCGAAGGCCTCATCTTACTCTCTTTGGCATGATGCTCTGTCTCTTCTTCTTGTTTCCCAACTTTTCAAGTCCCAGCCATGTCTCCCTGTAGCCCCTGATGTTGTCGGGAGGCTCTCTCTCCTAATAAAGCTCGTTGTGGTAATTTCATGTCTGTTCCTTACCCAAACGCTCTGTATCTCTGCCATGACTTTTACTTTCTTAGTTCTCACTGGGTGGTACCCACCCCCCATGAGTCGCTGTTACTAGGAACTTCTGACTCTAAGCAGAAGGAATGAGAGAATCCCAGAAAGCAAAGATATTCCCACAGCAGAGAGAACAATCCCAAAGGTCTAGAGAGAAAAGTCTTAATAAGGGTTATAGGAGAGGTAGAATCCCCCCACCAAGGATGAATAAGACAAAAAACTGTTGTCAAGTTAGTTACCAATTTTTCTGGCTGCTTCTAGCTGCTTGTAGGTGGCAAGGCGGCCACCTTCAAATTCACATACGGTCTTGGCTTCTGCATAGGTGAGCTTGTATCTGCCAGCCCGAGCTTCTCGATGGTACACACCCGCTGCTTGTTCTGTGAATTTACAAAATGTCATCAGTGCACTATTCTCTATTCTTGTAGAACAAAGGAAAATTTCCCCCAGCAGGAAGATTGCATCAGATACATGTTCTTGCCAAAGAAATTTCTAGGTCAGCTGCCATGGTAGTTAAGTTTTTATTGTTAGAAAGCTTTGGGGAGAAAAAGAATAAGGGGGAATTTTCGGGGGGGAACAGAGACCACGTAAAGACTGGAGTTTAGATTGCTTTGATAGCATGAAAGAAAGTTTTTTTTTTAAAATTCATTATATTTCTAGATTAAACACAAGTAATAAAGTTTTGATGATCTTTTGGCTCTAAGTCATAAAAGCTTGGAAAGGGCCGGGCGGTGGTGGCGCACGCCTTTAATCCCAGCACTCGGGAGGCAGAGCCAGGCAGATCTCTGTGAGTTCGAGGCCAGCCTGAGCTACCAAGTGAGTTCCAGGAAAGGCGCAAAGCTACACAGAGAAACCCTGTCTCGAAAAACCAAAAAAAACAAAAAAAACAAAAAAAAAAAAAAAAGCTTGGAAAGGTAGATGAAGGAAGTAGATGAAAGAAACTTAGAAGGCAAAATAAACCAGTGAAAATGACTTCATTATGAAAGCCCACAAGGAAGGCAGACATGTCCATTGAGGGAATCATTACGATGATATAACTGAGAATTCCGTAAAGAACTTTAAAACAGCGGGGAAATCTGATGGAAACCTCAGCAAGCAAGTTGAGCACCAAAGAAAAGGGATTTGAAGGCAGCAGAGAGAATTGGCACATCCATAACCACTTTTTCTGATTTGTTTGTTCACATGTTGCCCCCAACATATTTTAGGCGATGACAAAGTCCTGTCTTCCAGTAGGTCACTGTTTCAATGAATTGTTTGGGGACTGCAGTGATGTCTCCATAGAAACAATGTGAAGAGGTTCCCCAGACAATTGTCACAAGTTTATCTCTCTCCGATGGTGCTAGTAGTGCCTCCCAGTTGTCTGGATTACTATTGAGCTTTTGTATACTGATCTGCCCAGTCGGCCACTGTGGAGATGTTCCCAGGGAATTCTTGAATGCCTCCGCACACAGCAAGACACAAATCCAGAAACATGTCCTGATTCAACTCCTATTTCTCTTCCCCAAACTAAAACTGACTCTACCACAGTTTGATGGGAAATGATGCTGATTGTGCTTCATGTTTTTCTAGACTCCAAGGATCCTGTTCTCATAAATTATATGGTAAAAGTATCCATCACTTAGAGAAGGCAACAGTCAATTTGATAGTTTTATTTACTCGTGTATTTTGATACAAGTTCTCATGTGCCCCAGGCTGACCTCTAACAAGCTATGCAGCTGAGGAAGACCTTGAATTCTGGTCTTCCTACCTTTACCTCCTGATTGCTGAGATTACAGACATGTAACTCTTGGTTTTATGTGGTACTGGGGAATCTAACCAGGGTTTTTTGCATGCTAGGCAAGAACTCTACCAACTGAGCTTACATTCCACAATTACAGACCAGAAAATACTAGCAACATCAGATTGTCACCAGTGGAGATGATTTTCACTTTGTAAATACCTGCCACCCAGGTGTCCTTCATGTGCCAAAGCCTCAATACACTCACTAATTTCCAGTTTTATTCTTTTAAGCACGAAGTTTGATGAATTTACCCAGGTGGTGTGAATCAAGCCCTGTCCCCTCAAGGGACTTAGACATGCATGCGTGGGCAACTAAAGTATATTTATTACTTTTTAAAATTAATTTTTTTTTTTTTTTTTTTTTTTTTTTTTTTTTTTTTTGGTTTTTCGAGACAGGGTTTCTCTGTGTAGCTTTGCGCCTTTCCTGGAACTCACTTGGTAGTCCAGGCTGGCCTCGAACTCACAGAGATCCGCCTGGCTCTGCCTCCCGAGTGCTGGGATTAAAGGCGTGCGCCACCACCGCCCGGCTAAAATTAATTTTTAAATTAATAAATATACACTTTTTTTCTGCATGTATGTCTATGCACCGCATGTGTACCTAGTGTTTGAGGAGTCCAAAAGTTGAATCCCCTGGGACTGGAGCCATAGATGGTTTTAAGCCACCATGTGGTTGCTGGGAACTGAAGTCAGGATCTCTGAAAGAGCAGTCAGTGCTCTTAACCACTGAGCCGTTTCTCCAGCACTGTTTTTTAAATTTGATTTTTGTTTTTTTGGTTTTTCGAGACAGGGTTTCTCAGTGTAGCTTTGCGCCTTTCCTGGAACTCACTCTGTAGCCCAGGCTGGCCTTGAACTCACAGAGATCCGCCTGCCTCTGCCTCCCAAGTGCTTGGATTAAAGGCGTGCGCCACCACTGCCCGGCCTGGTTTTTGTTTTCTACATAGGGCCTAGAATTTGTGATTCTCCTGTCTCAGCCATTTAAGTATGAAAATTAAAATGTTTGGCACCACACTGAACTAAGTATCTTTATCTTAGACACTATGCCTTTTGGTAGAGGAAAAAGATTCATGCTTAATTAAATTATTATAAATATTGTTGGTGGGGCTGGAGAGATGGCCCAGTGGTTAAGAGCACTGGCTGCTCTTCCAGAGGGCCCAGGTTAAATTCCCAGCACCCACATGGCAGGCAGCTCACAGCTGTCTGTAACTCCGGTTCCAGGAGATCCAGTATCCTCACACAGACATCCATGCAGCCAGAACAACAAAGCACATAAGATTAAAATAAGTAAATACATATTGTCAATTCAAACATCGAAAAATCCATCTGTACTCCAAGAATATAGAGAAAAATAAAAATTAGAAACAATTGTATAAATTATTTTAATGTATGACAACTCTTCCTAATCTGGTTTCCTTAATATTTTACTCCAAACATGAAGTACATTTCTGGGGAGAGATTAACAAAGACTTTTAGAAAATAATTTTAAACTTTCTTACCAGTAATTAAAAAAAATAACTATTGGAAACTGATGGCATGTGTCCGGGTAATAAGATTACTATAAATGAAACAACAAACTTCATGTGACATGATTTCAGTTTCTTAAATATTTCTATTCCATTTTGTTTTATGAGCAAACACACTGAGAATTCTTGATGTAGATATTTGACTATTTAACTAAGGAAGATAATAAAACAATTATGACAAGGTCTCACTATGTAACCTATGCTTCCCTTGGAATCTCTAATTGTCCTGCTTCAGTCTCTTGAGTCTTGGTGACTACAGAACTTCTTGCTCAGTAACAATTCTATATGAAATTATTTTGGTTTCTTGTTTGTTTGTTTGTTTTTTGAGACAATGTCATTTTCTAGCTCTGACTGACCTGGAACTCACTATGTAGATCAGATTGGTTTCAAACTCATAGAGATCTGCCTGCCTCCCAAGTGCCAGGATTAAAGGCATGCACCCCTACACTTGATCCTGCCTAGGGACGATGATAAACAAAGCATTTTGTGCGTGTATTTGTTTGTTTATTTATTCAGGTTTTTGTTTTTTGTTTTTTGTTTTTTTTGTTTTTTTTTTTTTCCGAGACAGGGTTTCTCTGTGTAGCTTTGTGCCTTTCCTGGAACTCGCTTTGTAGACCAGGCTGGCCTCGAACTCACAGAGATCCACCTGGCTCTGCCTCCTGAGTGCTGGGATTAAAGACGTGCACCACCACCGCCTGGCTTATTCAGTTTTTGAGGCAAAGTTTTGCTATGGATCCCAGGCTAGCCTGGAACTTCCAATCTTCCTACCTTAGTCCCCCAAGTACTTGGAATACAAAAGCAGAACCATTATTGTTTTAAAGTACTACTTAAAATATTTCTGGGTTTAGAATTTTAAGCTATTAAGACAAAATTTAGTACAATGAAAGTAGCTTTTAAAAGAAGCATGTGTCTAAAGAAATGATATTTTATTAATTTTCCTACTCTACCACTCATTTGTAAAACTGATTTTTTTTTCTCCTTTTGGCAAATGACAGTGGTGGCCTGTGGGCTCTGGTATCTGCTGGTTCTTCTGGGAGGAGTTAGGCAAGCTTGTAGACATCACTACTTGAGCCTTGGTTTTCCCATCTAGCAAATGGGAATAATGATAGCTGGTGCACCCTACTAGGAGCTCGTGGTACGCAACCTGCCCATCTTTGGCAGATTCAGTACAAAGATTAAAAAATAATTGTTCTCTGTGTTTTCAGTGTTCAAGATCCATGTTGACTGACTGACATTTCTTGTCCGTCAGTTTCTTTCTTGTTAAGTTGCCATTAAGAAATTAGAAGTCACAGAGTTCAAATGTCCTGTTCTGCACAGTTGCTACCAGATCCCTCCCTTCAAATCTAACTCTCTTTTCTCCCTAAACAGTTACTAATATTATATTGACCTAACCAACTGTAAACAATTTGTGCTGGGCTGACTGGTCAGTCATGTGTTCCAGACTGAAGCAGTTGATGGCGTCTCCAGCTCCTGATCCACAGTGTGCCCTTAACAAAGCTTTGGCTTGCTCCTCTCCACCACTGGGGCAGAACCGCTTTTTATCCACATTTACATTTTTGTAGCATACACACTCATTACAAAAACAATGACTTCAAGTTATTCGATCCCAGGAGAATTTGATAGTATTTCAAAATATCCCCATACGACTTTAATTCTGCCTAGCTCTATGGTGTTTCCCCACTTCTGACAAGCGTGTATGCATTTACTCAGTTGGATTGAGTGCACCCATCTACATTCATTTCAGAGCCCATCTTGACCAAACGGTCACACTGCAACTAGTTACTGGCTCAGGGTGGAAAAAGAGGCGGCAAGGCTGTGCCGTTCAAATCCAGCTTTTTAATGAAATCCTCATGGTTATAATTACCACCAAAGAGAACTCTGCTGAAAGGGAAAACTAGTCTATAATCATGTGTTGCCTAGCAAGCATAAAACCAAGATCTAAGTTAATTTTGCTTTTTCTTTATTTCTTTATTCTGTGCAAGAATAAGATGATCCTCTAGCAAGCAATCAAAAAATTTTTTCTCTACTAAATACAATAATCGACAAAATGCAACATCCACTTGAATAATAAGGGTTCTCGTATTGTTTTGAGTGCTATAATGGGTTGATACTCATTTCTGTGTTAATAGTCTTTTAATGGTCTATTGTTCCTCTTTCGTGTTTAACCTAAATCATCCCTTATGTTTAATAAGACAACAAAGAGAACTTTCCTCATTTAATCAAAGGTCTAGGAAAATACTTACATGACAAAAAGAACCAAAGCCTGATGAATGCATCAGAAAGTACAGAGCATTGTTATTTTCTTTCCTGTATCACATTCTAGTTTTGTTAAAATAGTTGAAAGACAGTTAGAAAAATTAAGATGGACCCTACAGCTCAGAGTACGTGGAGTTCAGAACTACTGTAGAAGTTCTGCATCTCCCATCTTACCTGAACTCTTACTGCGAAAACAGTTGCAATAATAATGATGATGATGATGATAATGATAATAAACCAAATCTATTATACTGGTGGTTTAGTTTCATAAAGAAATACTCACTGGTGAGCTACCATGTCTGCTTTGAAAATCTTAAAATATAGTTTCACAATGACACATCTCAACCCCTGCTTTTTGTTGAACAATGCATTGTGCGAAAGGATAACCTTAAGTTTTAAACGCAAACATCCTTTGTTTAATGGTATGTCAGTCAGTGTCTCTCTTTTTAAAGAATTTTCTGTGAAAACATCAGCCTTGAACATGCTAGAAATTTTTACTCATTTGAGTCAGTCCTCTGCAGTGTCAAAGGATTGTTATCCACAACAAAAAGCTTGTCAGTGAAGTTTCTTACCAAGCCATATGGAGTTATGAAAGATTCCATTCTTGAATCCCCATCCGTGAACCTCTTCCCACAGCAGGATCCATAAGCAAAGGAGCAGGACCATATCTTCAGTTGCAGCAGTTTTACAGTGTTGGGGCTGCCCACGAGAAATTCTCTGAGTAGCGGCTGGAATGCGGCTGAAACATCTGGTTTCCACATCTTTTAAATAGTTTTTTTCGGCCGTGAGGTCAGCATGTACTCTCCAATGGCACTTTCCGTTGCGAGTTACACAATTAGTTCTGTGTCTGAAGCAAGCCCTCTGACTCATTTGCATTGGCACCCAGACCGGAGGGCGCAGGATGAGCATCCACGTTTTAAATTCACTTCCTCAGAAACAAGCTCGTTGATTCTGCCAGTCACCAACACTTTTACGTTAGAAAGTTTGTGTCATTTGGTGCCGATTCAGAAGCGATTAAAGAAAAACCGAACTCCAGCAGAAATTCTCAAAGAAATCCTGAAGGTCCTTGTTTGCATTGTTAATTTTGGGGCTTGTAGTTTAACATTAATCTTTAACTTGATTGTGATAGTATCGCACAGTTTTTCCTAAACGTTGCCAAGTCAGTCTGTGTAGAAAATTTAAAACAAAAGTGTATGTAGTTTGGCAAATCCAGCACGGAAGAACATCTCTCTCTCTCTCTCTCTCCCTCGCTCCTTCCCTCCCTCCCTTCCTCCCCCACGCCCTCAGCTTTGAGAAAAAGAGTCCAATTTCAGAGAGTCTTAGGACATTCAGGTAGCCTTGGAATATCCTAACAAGGAGTATTTTAAGCAGATATTGGCAGGCTTGGAGGACTTTGGGGCTGGACCCCCTCCCTCCCCCGCTTATAGTCTACAGCCTGCCAGACAGTAAGCTGGAATGCTTTACAACCTGTCAGAAGAATAGAACCTGAGTCGTATTTCTGGTCCTGGGAGGAGACCTGGCATCCTGAACTGTCTTAGAAAGTCATTGATGGATAACTGTCTAAGCCTGACTCTGGGAACCTTAAACCTGACAAGATTACAATATAACAAGAGTATTTCTGATAAGGACCAGTCAGGCCGGATGGCAAAAGGTTGTCATCTCAGCATGCTTGGACCATAATGTCTCTCCTTCCAGAGATGCATTTGTACCTATCCACTCAACAGAGATGTTTGTACACCTACCCACTCAACCTGTTCTCATGCCTGTCACCCTGGCCAATGTAGTGAAGACCCTATGTCAAAACGAGAGAGAGAGAGAGAGAGAGAGAGAGAGAGAGAGAGAGAGAGAGAGAGAGAGAGAGAGAGAGAGAGGGACCCAGTGGTACAGTGCTGGCCTAGCATGTGAGATCCTAGTCCAACCAGCAGCCCCATACAGACAAAGGGGCGACACTCTCCCTCAAATCTGAATCAACACAAAAGGCCTGTCAATCATTTGAGTGGGACAAAGCCTTTCAGAAGAAGAACTCTTGTCTAGAGATTTTAGAAAACACTATAAAGCCTGTAAAACAAAACCAAACAACAATGACAAAACCATGTAGGCTGGGGTAGTAGTCTCTTTGGATCCTCTGGCTACTGTCCACTACTTCTTTTTCTTTTCTTTTCTGTTCTCTTCTTTTCTCCCTCTTTTTTTTGGGGGGGAGGTGCGGTTCCAGACAGGGTTTCCCTCTGTAACAGCCTTGGCTTTGTAGACCAGGCTGGCCTCGAACTCACAGAGATCCGCCTGCCTCTGCCTCACAAGTGCTGGGATTAAAGATGTGCACCACCACCACTGCCCGGCCCAGTCTGCTGTTTCTTTTTGCTGTTGTTGTTCTTTTTTTTTTTTTTTTTTGAGACAGGGTCTCTAAGTACCCCTGGCTGTCCTGGAACTTGCTCTGTAAACCAAGTTGGCTGTAAACTCACAGAGATCCACCTGCCTCTGCCTCCCAAGTGCTGGGATTAAAGGCGTGTCACCATGGCTAGTGTGCCACCATGGCTGGCTCCCTCTCACTCTTGAGAGTGTTCTGTAGCCTCCAGTGCACTCTGCCCTTTTGTCTACATGCTGATGCTTTGCCTGAATTCTTTTGACAGAACTCACAAGGACCAGAGGAGACCAGAACAAGATCCTGGTAGCAGGCAGATGATAATAAAGTTAACAAAATATGGCCCAATTTCCCAAGATCAATCTAACTTGGATGAAAATGATCAAAATAATAGGTGATGATCTGGGAAAGTCACCATGCCTTCCAGCTTCTCAAACTCTCCTTGCCCACAAAAATGTAAGACATTAGGTGACATGTGTGGTCACATTCTCACTGCTGCTGTTGTTAAAGGCAACTCCTGCTGTTGGTTGATAGGCACTTTATGTAGCTTTTGTTGTTCTCAAATGTTGGCCATTCTTTGTTACTTAGCTTCTCTATTTTTCAAAAATTATTTTTCGATTACATTTACTTTATTTTGTATATGTGGGTATTTTGACTCATGGATGCCTTGCACCATGTACATGTAGTGCCTGAAGAAGTCAGAAGAGAGTGTCGGATCCCCTGGAAATTGGATAACAGATGGATGTGAGCCACCATGTGGGTGCTGGGAACTGAACTCGGGTCTCTGCAAGAGCAGCAAGATGCCCACTGTGGTGGCGCACACCTTTAATCCCAGCACTTAAAAGGCAGAGGCAAGTGGATCTCTGTGAGTTCGAGGCCAGCCTGGTCTACAGAGCAAGTTTTGGGACAATCAGGGCAGTTACACAAAGAAACCTTGTCTCAAAAAACCAAACCAAACCAAACAGGAAAAAAAAAAAAAGCCACAAGTGGGCTGCTCCACCTCTCCAATCCCAGCCTCCCTACTATTCTGGTGCCAGCCAATCTGCTTTCATTTGCTGTATCACAGTCCTCCTTCCTACCAGACTTTCCCAGCCTCTTCAATGGCTTTTTTTGGGTGGGGTAACTTTCTAGATTTGCGTTGGTCTGAAGTTAGCTTTAAATTCTGGAGTTTTTTTTTTGTTTTTTGTTTTTTTTTTTAATATAAAGACAAGGTTTCTCTGTGTAGCCTTGGCTGTCCTGAAACTCACTCTGTAGACCAGGCTGGCCTCGAACTCACAGAGATCTGCCTACTTCTGCCTCCCGAGTGCTGGGATTAAAGGCATGTGTCACCACGCCCAGCCTGTAGACATCTTTTTTAATGAGCATCACAGGCTTATCCTTTCCTCCAAAGGGTGTCCTGGGGTTTAGAATTTGCTGCACTCTATACCTATATCCATGATCAAGATTTGAAAATCTGGACTTTCTGCCGTGGCAAATAAGAGATGGAGAAAAAGTTCGCCAATTAGAGTTTAAATTTGGTGGCTGTGTAGGAGAGGCTATGGAGAGCAAAGATGGTCCATGAGAACTGGATAAGTAGGATTGGATGTCTCTGGAAGGTGAAATTACCTGAGTATTTTTAGTCTGTGGTTAGGAAGCAAATACAGCCTGACTTCTGCGTGGTAGCAGGCTGTCACAGCCTTCCCCCTTCGTACTGGCACTTTCTCTCGTCACACCGTTTCAGCATCTCAAATATCTCACCTTCCCATTTACCAAAATTCCTCTCCGGAAAGCATCTGCAAGTAACTAGCAACACAAACCCTCTGCCTGAGTTTCCAAGATGCTTCAAGAACAGCAGGGTGTGAGGGGTCATGTGTTCTAACATGAAGGCTTCATACATTTCTCTGAAGGATAAACCCAATCTAAGACAGAGGATTTCTTTCCTCCCTCTCATAACAGCAGTACAGGATAGAAATATCTTCTTACTTCTGAACAGTATTTGACAACCTTGTCCCTCTTCTGTCATTAAGGAAATAGGAAACAATGACTAAGTTTGGCATGATGGTAACACATAGAATCCCAGTATTTGGAAGGCAAGAAGCGGGGAGATCCCAAGTTCAAGGCAAGCATGAGCAATGTATCTAGACTCCATCACAAGCAACCAGACAAGCAATGCCTAAGGATGTGGGCTCTGGTTTTGAGAGTGTGCTCGGTTCCACGGTGGAAGAAATGATGAGTAAGGTTATATATGGAAAAGCTGTAGGTGGATAATTGGGGCTAGGGAGGGGAGTAGAGAAGGAGTGTTGCCAACAAACTTAATATGGAAACTGCCTAAGAAATGCTCAGCTCCCAGGGCACACTGCCAGGACACACTACCCAGAGATGCCTTTTGGGGAGCTAAGAGAAAACACAATAGCAAAAGGTCCTCTCAAGGCCAAGAGATGTTACCAGTCACGTCCTTCTCCACCTGCCACAGACGGGCAAAACCCAGCAAGGCTGCCTTTTGTATAAGAAACTGTCTTCTGGCTTTTTTTTTTCTATAAGAGTCCAACACTCATAAGCCCATGTAGTTACTGGATACTTGAAGGCCTAGAGGGTAGTGAGGAGCACTATACACCTGAACTGGGGAGGAGCAAATACTAAGATCTCCTAGTGGGTGCAGTGGCCTAATGATGTCATTCTTGTAAAAAGCCGAAGGAGAAAGTAGTAGTAGTAGTAGTAGTAGTAGTAGTAGTAGTAGTAGTAATAATAATAATAATAATAATAATAATAATAATAATAATAATGCTAAGGCAGAATCCAGACAGTCACTGGAAAGTGAGGAGATATTTTGAATCCTTTTCCCACCTGGTTAGTCTCAGCTGGGCAGTGTCTTGAGCATTTTGTATTTAGCTACCAGGTTAACTTTGACACAGCTCCCCCATTGGCCGGATGCATCCTTTGCATATAAAAATCCTATTGCAGCAGGCATGGCAGTGCTCGCCTGTAGAACAGCTACCTCTCCGACCTCTGAACACATTTGACAACCTTGTCCCTTTTCACTTGGGAAGTAAAGACTGGAGTCTCAAGAGCTCAAGGTTATCTTTGGCTATGCAGCAAGTTCCAGATCATAGTCTAGGCTATATGAGACCATGCCTTTAAAATGTTAAAAAAACAAAGCAAAACAATAACAACAACAAAAACAAAAGTTGGGCATGGTATTGCATGCCTTTAGTTCCAGCACTCAGGAGGCAGAGGCAGGTAGATCTCTGAGTTCAAGACCAGCCTGATCTACACAGTGAGTTCCAGGACAGCCAGGGCTATTCAGTGAAACCCTGTGTGGGGTTTGAATAGGAATGGTTGATAGACTCATGTGTTTTAATACTTGGCCTGTAGGGAGTGGCACTACTAGGAGGTCTAGGCTTGTTGGAGGAGGTGTGTGACTAGAGGGTAGACTTTGAGATCTCAGAACTCAAACCAGTTCACTTCCTGCTGCTGGCTGATCTGGATGTAGAATTTCCAGCTCCTTCTCCAGTACCATGTCTGCCTGCATGTTTCCTGTCATGATGATAATGGACTAAACCTCTGAGCCTGTAAGCCAGCCTCAATTAAATGTTCTCCTATATGAGAGTTGCCATGGTCTTGGTGTTTCTTCACAACAATAGAAACTCTAACTAAGACATCCTGCCTCAGAAAAAAAAGAGAGAAAAGAAAAGAAAAAGAAAGAAAGAGAGAAGATAAAGACCTCTAAGTATCAATGACTTAAAACAACAAAGATTTATAGTTCGTATGTTACTATAAGTGACATGATATACTGTAGTCTTTGGTACCATAACATCCAAGGGATCCAAATC